TCAATCAATATATGTTTAATTGGGGGCGGGGCCTGACCGCCATGCTGCATGGTCGCACGAAACAACAGCTCCAACGACTTTCTGACTTTTTAAGCCTAAAAGAGTAACTCCTGAACACGCTTGACGACCAAAAGTTATGGACTTACACCCATGGGAGCTCCGGTCCTGAGGAGAGGCTAGCAGCAACTGTTTTAGTCCCTCGGGGAGATACACACTGTTCTCACTGGATGAGGCCTACTCGGGCGGTGAGCGGGGTGGACGGCCGCTGCCCCGCTATCCTGCACAGTGGTATAAAGCTGGACTCACTATAATACCGTATGTACCGGGCCCCGTTCCCCCCCCTTTGGGCCGGCGGGGGTGATCCCGGCCCACGCCCTGTGGCCACTACCGTGGAGAAGATCATGGGACCCCACAGAACTACCAACCCACAGCCCAGGCCGCAAGCCACGTCTAAAATGGCGGCAACACACTCACCAGCTTGCACCGAGGAAACTGCTAGCTGCTACGCAACTACCGCAAATCCCAGGTGGGCCCTAAATACATGCAGAGGGCAACCAGGCCGACGGGAACACAAATACTCACCGCATCACCACCAGCCCGACTAATGTTCCCAAAAAGAGTGGCGCAACACGCGAAATGGATGCTGGGGAGGAGGTGAGCAGCCGCAAACCGCTTTGATCCAGCTCATACTAACCGGACCCAGCAGATATATCTTCAGGCTGGCCCAGGCGGCAGGCAACCGGTGCACAGCAACGCTCCCTCTCCTGGATCAGCACGTTCATCGCAGTGCCGCGGGGATTGACGGCTAAATCGCAACAAGAGGGTCCTAACAGTCATATGGGAACTCTCCAGCCTTCTGCCTCCATAAACATGGACTCTATGTGGTCACATTTCCTTCAGCCTTGTTACATGGGAAACGCATTAAACATCAATTGGGGTACTGGTAGTTAACCACCTGCGGTGGGTGTCCTGGGGCGTTCACACACAATAAGCAAAAATGTATTCATAGCGTCTCAGCATTTATACTATTGTACGGCGTAAGCTAGACATATACCCTCAGCCTGTGAAGCGCAACATATAGTTAGAAATGTTTTCTTCTTGTTTAAATCGACTACTCAGCGACATTTGTTTTGTTTTCTCTGCATGTATAATCTTACTTGTACATCACACAAAAAAAAAAAAAAAAAGCGCACATCATCTTGACCTTTTTAGCATGTACTTGTGCTTATACTTTATGTTAAATGCCTATGTCATATTTTGAGCATGTACTTAACATTGCGCTTCCAAAAATAAAGAATTTAAAAAAAAAAAAATATATATGTTTAATTATTTTACGTGTAACTATTTTTGGATACTTTTTTTTATACTGTCTTGTGTAAAGTTTTCTCTTCTCGAAAGTAAAAAAATTTTGGAAAATTTATTTTAATTTTGACTCTTATTTTCAAAAGGGCTTGCAGTACAGCAGCCTTATATAAATTGTGTTCTTTGGTTTAATCCAGGCACCCCCAACAGTCCTGATTTTTGGGGTCATGAACAGTTGTCCTGATTTTGTTCCCTGGTGTCCTGCATCCAGGGATACCAGGGAACGGTCTTCGGGCAGCACAGAGCTTGCATATCTGTAGATGCCTTCACGCCGTGCATGTGCACTGGAATTGTGCAGAGAAGGGTCCTACAGTGCTCTCTGCAAACTCTTGGAGTCTGGGGGCTGGACAGACATGCCCACTTAGTGGGTGGGCAAATGCTTTTTGCAGACAAGCACATTATGGGAATCATCAGTGCAAGTCACTATTTTATACTTCTCAATTTTGGAATATATGGTTTAAACCCCACTTTATTTCAAACCTCTATAACGTAACAGTCTAAGCAACATAACCATTACGGCTTACTTTAATGGTCCTGTCACCAATAGTGTACTGCTACTTCCCTCATTTAAGAACAATGTGGCATACTCTCAAAATGGTTGAATTCAAACAATTTGGCGTGCCATGACATTGACGGTATGATGTCAGCGCGTATGGACTACAATATAAAAAGGGTTGGAGCTATATAACCATACATATTCTTGTATAGTGTTTTAAATAGACCACTCTATCAATGTACTATATACATCGCTAACAAAATATGAATTAGAAATAATACGTTGAAAAAAAAAAAAAAAAAAAATTTTCCTCCCACATTTTTGCTTATAAAATTTTTTTTACACAATAAAAAGTGCAACTATAAAAATATAACCCAAATTAGAAACCACTCATTTATCATTCCTGACTGCTAAATGCCTCATGTCTTGGATCTAAATTAATTTGTGGTACTTAACGCTAACCCAGGGTATCTCAACCCTACTCCTACCCATTCACTAACCTAAACATATCCTCACAGTAACTTAAACCATACCCCTACCCTATTCCTAAACCTAACTAGCATTAACCCTACCCTAACACTAATCCTAACTAGCTGAGGGATTTTCCAGCTCACACAATAGAGGAGCCCTGTGAGTGTCATCTACTGGGTAAATGCAGCATAACTGGGAGATCTCCCTCACTTGCTGCACATCTGGCAAGTTGTCCCTAATGAAAACATAGACTCTGGGGGCTTTCCTCAGACTGGGGGTTTGCTCAGTCTCATGAGAGCATTTGCTCAGCAGTGGGGATTTAAATACACTCAAAGGGTCTCTCTGGTATGAGCTAGGATTTAAAATATTAGGATGTCCCTTGCTGTCCTAACATTGTTAAAGCCCATTCTTTGGAAGATGGCATGGAACATCTTAACATCCTTAAGGAGTTAATAAATGTGCACGAGTTGAAATTTTGCTAATAAAATTCATTACTTTTTTACTAGTAAATATCCCAGAGATCAAAAACCTTTTATGCGTAATGTTCAGTTGCATGCTTTGTAATTAGTCTATAACAAAGACCTTCTTTCATACGTTACCTATCACTGTTCTGTATCATGCATTATGTGATAAAAATCCAGCTGCTGATACTTGTAGGCTGTTTTCTAAAACATTAGGATGAGTAGGCAGGAATCCTTCTCCCAGTTATGAGCAATTTCTGTTCAATATGAAGTCATCACCAATTTTTTATAAACAATAATAATAATGGTATTTGTCAGAATCCACCTCTCACTTGACATCATTCTACTTTCCATTTGTTAGAACATGTGTTGAATAAATATATGCTACTGACTTCATAAGAGCTATAGGTGGCAGGAAACATAATTACATCACCATCTGTCACAGTACACAAAGACTTTCACTCCCACCATCCTGAGCAAGAATCCACAGAATTCTTGAAAGAACATAATATCCAAACTTGAGCAGATAGTCATGTTAATTCACCAAACAGTGATTTGTAGTAAATTAAAAACTAAACTACAAAATTTAAGCAAAATGAACACATCTGTAAAAAAATAAAATAAATAAATGTCCAACTCTGCTATAGCTACTTTTTTTTCTTACAACCTAAAGCTTACATTATGGTTTTGCATTTTCTATAATTCAGTATTTAGTGAATATATAACACAGGGTTATTCACTAACCCTGGAATTACCTACAAAGAAATTAAAACGTCATAATTCTGCAATATCTGGTGTAAGGACTGACAAATGTTTGAGTGTGGGCAGAGGCGTAACTAGAAACCACAGGGCCCCGGTGTGAAAACTGCCCTGTTTCCCCTCCCCCCATACATCTTTCCAACCCCACCCCTCTATCACACAGATATATACACTGACACATATGCTAATACACAGACACACATTCAGATACACAGAATGACACTTCAACAGATGCAAACCCTGACACACATACAGAATCACACACACACAGAAATACACATAGACAAATGCAAATACACAGAATGACATGCATAGAGATACATAGGGGCACACACTGACACATGCAGACAGATACACACTTGCAGAAAAGCAGACACACATGCAGGCACACAGATACACATACAGAGACACATATGCAGACAAACAGATACACATACAGACATATGCAGACACATGCAGGCACACAGATACAGTTATAGACACATATGCAGATACACATACAGATACACAGAAAAACATAGACACGCATGCAGATACACATACAGACACACATGCGGATACACATATAGATACGCATGCAGATACACAGACACACTTAATGGCAAACATTCAGATACACAGAATGACAAGCATACAGATATAAACTGTACATACAGATACAATGGGGCACACACTGCAAACAGATACACATACAGATACACAGACAAAGGGCAGTGTGTGTATGGGAGTGCAGTTGGGGAAGTGTTTGTGTGCGGGAGCACTGTGTGTATGGGGGTGCAGTGTGGTAAGAGCTCCCGGGTCTCCTCTCCCTCCTCCCTCTCTGCCAGCCGCCCAGCAATGTGCCTGCGGACCGGTGAGGGAGATCTTTGATCTCCCCTCCGCTCTGTAAAGGCACATAGCAGGGCCGGCGCCTTGGATAGCACCGGCCCTGCAGGAGAGAGCATCGGATCTCGGGGGGGCAATTGCCCCGTTGCCCACCCCCCCCCTGGATCCCCCGCTGGGCCACCCACTATAGATTACCCTCTAACTTTGATGGTATGGTCCATCCTTAACTTCCTTTTACTCCTTCCTCTCACTTCCCTCACTACATTCCCCTCCTCCCTGCTCCCATTTGTTATCCTACTGTAAAAATCACACAAAGCTCACACAATCACACTCCCCAGCACACCACAATCCTCTCACTTCCCTTCTTCACCCTTCCTCCTGTCCTTTCTTTCCCTCCCCAGCCTGCTATTATCCTCCCATTAAAAACACATATCTCCCACACTGCCACCCTACACAATCAACCCAAATACAATTCTCTCCCTCCCTGTGCTGCACATCTTTCCTCACCTCACTTCCTTACCTCCCCCCCTTCACTTTCCCCCTAACTACCCTCAGCTCAACTTCCCTCCACACTCTTCCCTGCCTCCCCTCAGTTGCCTCCCATTATTCTCATGTTAAAAACACAACTCTTACACACTATCACACTCAGTCTTCTCACATAATGCTACCATACACAATCCCATGACTTTTCACCTTTCCCTCCATCTCCCCCTCACACCTCCCCACATTTTCCTCCACAATGTCCCCTGCCTACCTTTACTTTCCTCCACTCGCATTATCCTTCCATTAAAAAAGCACAACTGTCACACACTATCACACTTAGCCAACAACACAATCAAACTCCACCTTCCCGAACACAGACACCTTACATAATCCCACCACATCCCCTCAGTCCTTTCCATTCCTCTCTCCATCCCCTACCTCCCTTCCTCTTCCCTCATTTCCTATCCTACCTTCTATCCTCATTTCTCTTCCTCTCCTCAGTTGCCTCCCTCTCTTCGCTTTCCTTCAGTCCCTCCCCTCACTTTTCTCTCACCTCATTTCCCACCCTCCACTCACTTTCCTCAATTCCCTCTCCTCACTTCAGTCCATCCATCTCACTGCACTCCTTCCCCTCCCTTCATGGACAGATGAAATACAAGATTTGAAAACCCAAACCTAGGGCAGGAAGGTAAAAAAATTATTTAACTCAAGTTGCCTGAAATTCAGAGTGGAGTAGATGGTGGATTGTTCGTGCAACGTGTGGGCACTCATGGGTGTCCTTTATACTCCTCTAGACCGAGGAAATCCGCTGTCCGAACATGCAGCCTAGCGTGACTAGCAGCCTGGAGACGGGGGGAGGCGGCCGCTCCCTCAGCATGGGGCTCGCTTTGATCGATGGCCCGTCTGCTGCCCCTATGGACCGGTGGGGGTCATCCCGGTGGGCAAACTTACCTCTTCCACACAACAAGGCTCCCTGCTGAAACAACAACCGCGTGGCATGCAAAACATGGCCGCCGCTCTTCATCCTCAGCAACACCAGAGTTGTACCGCTGAGCCGCAATGGAGAGAGAGCTTTGAGGCGTGCTTTGATGCTCTGTGTGACCAGTTCTGGAGGCGCATATACCACCGACCACCCGTACCTGTCGTGACGGTTAGCCTGAAGGCAGCAACGACTACTCGACCAAAGAAATCCACAAGCAGCCGACCCGGCACATGGAAAGTCCACCGACAGGCGGTTTACTAGCGGACCCGCTCTGACACAGTGCGGCGACGGAGCACCCATGACTGCTTGGCTGTAGAACAGCCTGCACCTCGGGCACTATGGAGCAGAAACCCCTTGCACAGTAGGCCTCCCACAGCACTTGGGAATGCGACCCAACTGAGGCAGCGGGAAAGAGAGCAGAGAAACACCTCACACAGGAGCCGCAAAGGGGCTACCTTGGATGTCTGTACATACGCCCACCAAGCGGAGCCCAATAGACCAGCAAGTCACACACAGAGCCTAAGAGTTGGAATTGGCTGACCGCTGACGGGCATAGTACCGCAGCCCCACACCGGACAACGGGAACCGAGTCACTTTCTGCGGACTCCAACTCACCGTTGTGGGACTCTCATCACCCTACAAGAGCCTGCAGCATTCACACACTCTGGACTGCCAACACAAGATACCCAATCCTGGGCTCTCGCCAGAGAACACACAGTAAGAACTCTAGCTTGCAATAACTTGCAATAATGTTTGCTTGCAATAACTGATGTTGTCTTTGCTTATTAGTTTTGTTCACTTAATCTAATGCACAATAGGCATAACCTGTTGGATATCTGAGGCTAATAATGAGTGCAAGTAAACAGAAGGGAGTAAAATTATCTAATATACCTACACTCCCACAGAGAAGCTGACTCCCCTAGGAAAACAGCTGTACTCCCATAGCCTGTAGCACACAGCAGCTTAGCATGATAACTTCCCATAAGAGGAATTTTTACACTATAATGCCTAGATAAATTGCACTGTCAGCTAAGCGCTCTAATGGGTATACTGTTTTTATTTCATATGTTTCATATGTTTCAAAGACCTTCATAATTGTAATTAAGCACGATTTCACCTATTGCTACCTACCAGGCCCTGAGATGTACAATGATGTTGCTAGCCTGCTGCCTTTAAAAGACACAACTCCATCTTGGAACTCCTCAAGCTCCGTTAAGCTTGTAGATCAGATAATTACATTAGAAGCCAATATGCGTTGCTAAGACAGTTATACCTCGTATGCCTAGTTATCGCCTAAACTTTGTGTTCACCTTGTACCATATCATGCTAAGACGTGCATGTTTCTCTTGATAATCTAACAAAAATGTGCAATGCCTTCAATGCCACAATATTGTTCTCTTGTGTTTATCGCTCAGTTTGCTCCTGCTGTTGTGGCAAAGCAAACCCATTTGTTATTCATATGCACAAATAAAATAAAGAATTATAAAAAAAAAAAAAAAAAAAAATTTTCTGCAGCTCCAAGATTACATATGTGACCAAAGAAACTAGTCCAAAATGAATGATAATGGGAAGAATAAGTTAATATTGTTTAGACAAAGTACAAACACCTAAGGACTATCCCCAAGGACTTGGGTGCAAGCTTTTCACAGATGGATGGGACAAATGAAGATGGTCCTTCTTCCCAAAGTAGAGCCAGATAAGTTCTCACCTCCTATATAGTTTATTTGTGGGTTAGGCCTAACTGCATTGACTCATCTTCCTAGAGTTCACTGGCTTTGGCAACAGAGGTAGCCTGCTCCGAATAGCAAAATTTAGCAGAGGGTTGAACCAAGGATCTTGTAGCCCTTTCCTTATCCTTAACGGCATGATGAGTCATGAAGGAAACAATCTTCAAAATCAGTAGGAAGGTCCCTACCAGCTACTGTTCCAGAATAGTATTGCGTAAAACCTCCATGAAACTGTCTACTAGGGCATTATTATTGAACTCTAGCCTAGCCACGTATTTTTGGATTCCAAAACATACTCCCCAAGTGGTCTAGAGCCTTGTTTCAAATGTAGATGTAACTTGGCTGATGTGGCAGACCAAATAGGAGGATCAAATACCTTATGGAAAATCTCGACAAATAATAATTGGAAACCATAAGTAAGTTGTTTTCCCATGAGGGATTTACCCAAGCCCAGGGATGAATTAAGCTCTACGCATTCTAAGGACTGTCCCCTAGTACTCGCTGGTCCACTCCTCTTCTAACCTTCTTACTAGCAGGCAGAAACTCCTGTTATACAGTTTGGGACAGAGAAAAAGTGTATGTAGTGAGTGTAGAAGAAAGGGGACATGCCACCAGTGCTTTCGTAACAGCATTATGGGGCCCTCGGGCAAAGCAGCGCACTGGGGTCCTGCCTACACGACTCACAGGATTAAAAATGTTGTTGGTAAAGTTAAGCTTATATTTATTAGTAACTCCAACAAATGCAATACATTCATACAATACATACACACAGCAATATAAAATGAGAAATAATACCTCAATAATATACAACACTGGTGGTAAAAAAGTGATAAAAATAAATTATTTGTTAACCTTAAAATAGTAGGTAGTGAGAAAATTTCTCTGAATCTTCAAAATACAAATATAGATAAAAAACTCAGCCTAGAAAATAAAAAATAAAGATGTGCAGATAAAAAGAACACCATAAAAAGCTAAATTGCACTCACCAGTGTAAAATAAAATCGGCAGAACATATAAACCAGGCTCAGACTTCTATTCTTCTCCTTTCCCAACTTCTTGTGCTTATTGGGGAAAAAAAGAGAAACAAAAACATAGTGCAAAATTGTATAGCACAAATGAACACTTTATTCAGTTGCACTTACAATAGAATAAGAAGTTAAAAACCCATCAAACGTCCTAAATTTTCTGTTCCAAGGGAAAAGTCAGTTGCACCTTTGCACTCACCAGGAACCAGAAATATGAGTGTCATAAGCTGGATGCCCTGACGCGTAGAGCGACTGGACAACTTTATTTTATATTTTCATTGACTTGATTTTATTTGCATACTTTTGGTTCCTGATGGGTGCAAACTGACTTTTCCCTTTTAGCTTTTATGGTGTTCTTTTCATTTGCACCATTTGTGGTCCCTCTTTGTTTATTCATCAGTCTGTGTGTATGTATTGATAAAAACAAACACACAGACTGATGAACACACACATAGAATGCAGAGTATATACAGGCTGCTGAATACACACACACAGACCTGCTAAATACATACAGACTGCTGAATACACACACACAGACTGCTGAATACACACACACACAGACTGCTGAATACACACACACACACAGACTGCTGAATACACACACACACACACACACAGACTGCTGAATACACACACACACAGACTGCTGAATACATACACAGACTGCTAAATACATACATACACACTGCTGAATACATACATACAGACTGCTGAACACACACACACACACAGACTGCTGAATACACACACACACAGACTGCTGAATACACACAACAGACAGACAGAAGTGAGGGGTGCAGTGTGTATGTGTTGGGGGGAGTGCTGTGTGTGAAGGGTGCTGTGTGTATGTGTTGGGGGTGCTGTGTGTGTGAGGGGTGCTGTGTGTGTGTGTAGTGCTGTGTATGTCAGAGGTGCAGTGTGTGTATGTGTGGGTGCAGTCTGTGTGTGAGTAGTGCTGTGTGTGTTTGTGTGAGGGGTGATGTAATGTGTATGCGAGGGGTGCAGTTTGTGTGTGTGCGGAGTGCTGTGTATGTGAGGGATGCAGTGTATGTCTGTGTGGGGGGTGCTGTGTGTCTGTAATGGGTGCAGTGTGTGGGAGGCGATGCATAGGGTTAAGGGATATGTGTTTTTATTTTTTTTATTTAAAATAAAAAAAAGCTACCCCCCTGCATCTTCTTCTTACCTTTGGTAAACGAGTGGAGGACACTACAATCCCTGGTGATCCGATGGTGAATTGTGCTCCAACGCCTGCAGGCTGACTTCTCTCCTGCGAGGAGAACGCTGTGTTGGAGTGCTGCCAGGGCAACATGCGGCAATGCTCCGACCAGCATGCTCGAGGAAAGCAAAATCTGCCTCCCTCTATGCTAACAAAGGGCCTTTGGGCCAGTGAGGGAGATATTTGAGCAACGTATTACCAGGCCTTAGAATGGCTGTATTTAACGTATGAGAATAACTGGTAACGAGCCGAGATCAGGAATACAGAAAGGAACAAATATGTAATGAACAAAGCTAAAGGGTCAGGGATACCAGAAATATGGAAAGTCAAGCCAAGTTCAATAACCAAATATACAGTAAACAGGAATGCACTCTCGAATAACCAACACAGGATGGAAACCACGACAGGGCACT